CTCCTAATAAATCTTTAAGTTTTGGAAGTTCAGCTCAAGACTCGTGATTGAAATGGGGGTAACTGTCGGAGCCCTGACAGCTCGCTCTTGCCAAATAAAAATAAAAAAAATCTCCCCAAGCCGTTATGAGGAAACTCTACAGCCAACATTAAGGATCTAAACTACCACAGAAATGGACATTCAGCTGGACTGTGTCCTCGTTTCACTCCTGTGCCTGGGATGTTCTGCAGGATCTGGGCAAAAAAAGTCAAGATAGCCACAACGAGATGGGAAGCAAAGGCGGCGGAGTTTCTGCCACAAATGGTACAGCCTGTATCTTGTGGACAGCTTTGTCCAAATGGTGTCGTCTCCTTGTGTGCCTGGCCATATCATGGTTTTAGCCCAAAAAAACTATAAAATTCTGTTTCTAAAAGAAACTGGTTGGAGAAAGGTCAACCATCACTTTCCCAGGCCTTAACTAAGCGTCCGTTTGACCCCGGCAGATCCAATTCACAGAAAAGCACTTTTTTTTTTCTGACCTTTGTTTCTCCAGAGACAGTGGACGTTTATGGATCAAGGGTGCATGTTTAATGACGCAACGGGACACACAAGTGAGGACCCAGCCATTTGAAGATTTTGCCACAAGCTTTGAACCCTTAAAAAGCAGGGTGTTTTTTTTAAATCTTGGGAATGGGGAGTAGAAATGCATGCACAACCTTACTTGAGGTTTTCTGATTTCCCCCCCCCCACAATCTGCCTGAATAATTGAGGGGGAATCTAGCTTCCAATATTAATGTTGATGATTATCGTCTTGTACACCACTTGTATATATATTACCTGTAATGCTGTATTGTTCAAATAAATAATTTGTTTTTTGGTTTAGAAGCTCTGCCACAAATCTCATTCTTGAGGGGGGGGGCAGCACCTCAGTGGACCTCACCTATTTACCAATAATCGCTTGGGTTAAAATATCTCAAGCATAGTTATATTGGGCACTGAAGTAGCTAAGAGGTATGGGGTTCGGTAGTGAGTAAAAAGTTAAAAAACAAGGAAAAGAGAAGCAGGCCAACTGGAGAATTCTGGGAATTGAAGTCCACACATCTTCAAATTACCAAGTTTGAAAACCACTGATATACATAAATACTGTATAATTTGTAATTTACCCAGGGAGCACCTGAGTTTTGCAAAAAGTGAGAACAATCAACCCATGGAACAGAAGTTGCCCTCGGAAGTTGTGGGGGCGCCATCACTTGAGACTTTCAAGAAGAGATTGGACTGCCATTTGTCAGAAATGGTGTAGGGTCTCCCGCTTGGGCAGGGGGGGTTGGACTAGATGACCGACAAGGTCCCTTCCAACTCTGATTATCTGTTATCTGTTAAGTAAGAGGGAAAGGAAGATAAGTCCCTCTGTTTCCATTCCACTACGGGTAGTCCTACACTTACGACAACAATTGAGGCCAGAATTTTCATTGTTAAACAAGACAGGTATTCGGTGAGCTTTGTCCCGTTTTATGACCTTTCTTGCCACAGTTGTTAAGCGAATCTGGTTTCCCTGTTGACCTGCCAGAAGGTCACAAAAGGTGATCACATGATGGTGTGGTTCGCCGACAGCAGGTGCGGAGGGCTGAGGTCTCGGAGAGTGAGGACTCAGATGAGGGGCCTGCATGTGATGTAGGGATGAGGCCAGGACCATCAGGGAGTGGAGTGCTGCCTTCGGAGATTGTGGAAGTGATGAAGAGGACCCCGAGGAGCCTGTGCCCAGGAAGGAACAGCTGCAGCAGCACGGGCGACTCAGGAGTAAGGCTGCAAGGTAATGGCTCCTCCCTTAAGAGATAAAAGCCAGCTGAGAAACTGGAGTTCTTTGCAGGAAGCAAAGAAGTTCTCACCCTTCAAGCCTTGTGGAAGTTCGGACTATCTTGGTTGGTGTTTGAAGACTTTTTGTTTGGAGTATTTCTTGGCAACTTTGTCTAGTGTTCTTGGCAGCCTTGCACAACCTTGGCAAGGCTCGTTCTTATCAGAGACCATTAGTCTGAAACAGCCTTTTAATTGCGAATTAATGGAATTCGCAGAGAAGCATTAAAAGGTTTTGCTTTTATCTCTGTTTGGTGTTTGTTTACTTGGAACAAGGTTTGGGTCAGAACACATGACCTGGAAACACTGCAACCACCATAAATACGTCAGTTGTCGAGTACCCAAATTTTGATCATGTGACCATGGGGATACTACAACGATCATAAGTGCAAAACTGTCATCAGCCACTTTTTACAGTGCTTTTGTAACTCTGAACAGTCATTAAATAAGTGTTGTAAGTAAAGGAGTACCTGTTCAAGTAATCATGGACCTACAATCAGTCATTTAGTGACTGTTCGAAGTTACAATGGTGATGGGAATAAGGGGCCCCATTGGGTAATATTTCAGTAACAAGGACTGACTTCGATTAATGTTTTCTAGTTTATTTGTAAGAAGGTTCCACATTTAGGCAAGAAAAACCAAATGCAGAAGTACAGTCAGTATATGTGGTATCTCACTCAATGGCAGTAACTGCGAGAGGGATCTTGGAGTCCTAATGGACAATCATTTAAATATCAGCCAGCCGTGTGCTACAGCTGCCCAAAAACTCCACACAGTTTTAGGCTGCATAAACAGGGATAGAATCAAGATCAGGTGTTAATACCACTTTACAATGCCTTGGTAAAACCACACTTGGAATACTGCATCCAGTTTCAGTCGCCACAATGTAATAAAAGATGTTGAGACTCTAGAAAAAGTGCAGAGAAGAGCAACAAAGATGATTAGGGGACTGGAAGCAAAACCGTATAAAGCAGTGGTCCCCAACCATTTTTATGCCGCGGCCCGGTACCGGCATCAGCTGGGCGTCGCCATCTTGTTTTGATGAAAAGTGCTTCCAGTGAAGCGCTGGGCGCCGCCATCTTGTTTTGATGAAAAAGTGCTTCCGATGAGCTTTTCTGGGTAGAAAGCTCACCGGAAGCACTTTTTCATCAAAACAAGATGGCGGCGCCCAGCAAACCAGCGGCCCGGTAGGATTTGTTCCACGGACCGGTGGTTGGGGACCCCTGGTATAAAGAACTGTTGCAGAAATTGGGTATGTCTATACATATACAGTATATGCATATGTTGCTGTGTACATATGTCGGGTTGGAAGGTGTGTTGGATAAGTTTGTCACCTTATTTGTAAAAATAATAAAGGCAGGAGATAAATAAATACATTTTAATAAAATATCCAGACGGTAGCAGCTACCGATATCTCCTGTTCTTGTTCTTCAACATGAGCCTCTTCTTTTTTGAGCTTTCCTAGAATGGAATTTTACTTTTTTTACCATTTTTTATGCACAACAATGAAGCATCTAAAACCCCAACGGCAGCTGTGCAGACACTAGTCTCAGATGTGCATACTAGCCTCCCACTAAACAAATTTTTGCCTTGCATTAAACGCAACCCAGTATCAGTCTATAACAGAGGTCTCCAAACTTGGCAACTTTAAGACTTGTGTGGACTTCAACTCCCAGAATTCTGGGAGTTGAAGTCCAGACAAGTCTTAAAGTTGCCAAGTTTGGGGATCCCTGGTCTATAATCTTACCGCAAATCCAGTATCACCATATTTGAATTCACACTAATTACCTGTACAGGTAATCCTCGGCTTACGATCGCAACTGAGCCCAGAGATTTATGTTGCTAAGTGAGAAATGGATGAAGTGAGCTTTGTGAACTTTCTTGCCCCAGTTGTTAAGTGAATCTCTGCAGTTGTTCAGTTAGTAACATGGTTGTTAAATGAATCTGGCTTCCCCATAGACAGAGTCGAATAGTGGGGAGGAACATGGGCCAGTCGGGAGTCTGGGGAAGGACTCGGTGAAGGGATCTGTGTCCGATACAGAGATGGGGCCAGGGCCACCTGGGAATTACGTGCCGACTCTGGAGCATCCAGAATCTGACATCAGCGAGGCAGAGGAACAGCGGGAGCCTGTTCCCAGGGCACGCTTGTGCAGAGCTGCCAGAAGGCAAGAACAGTTAAGACAAAAGGGGCGACTCGGGAATAAGGCTTGGAGATAATTGGCCCCTCCCATAAGACACAAAGGAGGAGCAAAAGGACATGAGCCTTTGCAGGAAGCAACTTTGGTCTGGTCTGGTTTGGTTCTGGTCGGTTTAAACTCTGAAGCTCCGTGTTGACTTTGTGCTCTGTTTGGCCTTGTACAGCTGATTGGCAATTTAGTCACTGGCAGCATTTCAAGGGAGATAAAGGTGGGTGCTTATCAGCCTTTTCCCGAAAAGACCGTGGCAGACGTCTCTTGGACAATTCACAAACTGCTTGGGACTCATTACGGGCTATGAATGAATATAATTCACAGCCGTTGAAATAAAAATAGGGTTTTGGGGACTAAGCGTGTGATTGTTACTGACTCAAGAAGCCTTAGTCAGAAGAGTAAATCACACGACCATGGGGATGCTGTTAATGGTCATAAGTGTGAAAAATGGTCAAAGGTCACTTTTTTCGGTGCCATTGTAACTTCGAATGGCCACTAAACGAACTTAACAAATGTCTCACTTAACAACAGGAATCTTGGGGCTTAATTGTGGTCGTAAGTCGAGGACTACCTGTATTTGTAAAAAAAGAGGCAGGGCTTGTATTCTATAAGGTTGTGGCTGCCATTTTGGCTTTTTTTGACCACTCCTGCAGAAGCTGCTGAGGATAACTCGAATGTCAGGGGGGAAAAAATCTGCGATTTCAGAGTTTCCAACTTGGCCCAGCCCCAAAATTGAGGCCCATGTCAAAAAAAGGCCCAGAAAAAACACACAACCCCCAACCATCTATTTATTACAAAGGAACCACACATCACAATTCATGAAAATCACAATATAGTGTGTTTGGCGAAGGTAATCTAGTTAATTTCATTTCAGGTTTACCGCCAATTTTGCAGAGCAAGCTCCAGACCTTCTCCCACCCCTGTCTGGATTGGAGTGGGAAAAATTATGGCTTCTCTCCTAACTTGATTTTTTCTTTTTTCCATGCATAATAAAAACAGACCCATTACTAAGGTCATTTTTTCCTATCGTCCTCTATTCTGGATTCTAGTTAGGTTTAGAGATATCTGGCTTCGTGGCAGCAGACAAAACTTGGGATTAAGTTTTGTCTCCGGATAGCATCTTGGCTCTGTCTGTCTCTCCCTCACACACACACACACAGAGCAGGCCTGCTAGTAAATGCAAGCCACCAGCATGAGACAACACCTACGGTTATACTTTTAACACCTCCCCGTCTTTGTGGGTCCGTTTGTGGACCACTAAGTGCGCGCTGCAGGTGAAACACCTGCCGCAAATCAGACAGGAGTAGGGTTTCTCCCCCGTGTGGATTCTCTGGTGCTGCATGAGGTGCGCGCTCTGGCTGAAGCTTTTCCCACAAGTGCCGCATTTGTAAGGCTTCTCTCCCGTGTGGGTCCGTTCATGCTTCACCACATCCGAACTGGTGGTGAAGCTTTTCCCACACAGGGAGCATTTGTAGGGTTTCTCCCCCGTGTGGATCCTTTTGTGCTTCACGAGATCCGAGCTGGAGCGAAAGCTTTTCCCGCAGGCCGGGCATTTGCAGGGTTTCTCGCCCGTGTGAGTCCTCTCGTGCTGGGTGAGGATCATGCTCTGGCTGAAACACTTCCCGCAGTACGAGCATTTGTAAGGCCTCTCCCCCGTGTGGCTCCGCTGGTGTTTCACGAGGCCCGAATTGGACGCGAAACTCTCCCCGCACGTGAGACAGGTATACGGCTTCTCGCCCGTGTGGGTCCTCTCGTGCTGGATCAGGTTCGAGCTGCGCTTGAAGCTCTTCTCGCAGAGGGAGCAGTTGTAAGGTTTTTCTTCCGTGTGGGTCTTTTTGTGGTTGACGAAGTTGGAGCTGGTGGTGAAACGCTTCCCGCACTCGGGACACTGATAGGGCCGTTCCCCCGTGTGGGTCCTCTGGTGGGTCATGAGGTGGGCGTTGGAGCAGAAACTTTTCCCACAGAGGAAGCACTTGTACGGCTTCTCCGCCGTGTGGAAGCGTTCGTGTACGATCAGGTAGGAGCGTTGGTTGAACCGCTTCTCGCACACAGTGCACTTATAGGGCTTCTCTCCTGTGTGGATCCTCTCGTGTTTCACGAGATCCGAGCTCTGATGAAAGCTCCTCCCGCAGTCTGCGCACTTGTAGGGCTTTTCCCCCGAGTGGTTTCGCTTTTGATGGTTGATCAGGCTGGAGATGCTGCAGAAACTCCTCCCGCAATCAGAGCATATGTAAGACGTCCCTTCGACGACGGGATGGCCTTCTTCCAGCACAGGGATCATGCTGGGCAGACCCACCGATCCGTGTTGGATCTCACAGATCCCTTCTACTTTGCGGAAACCCGAAATGTCAGGGGCTGCTTCCAGGAAGGAAACACACGGTTCCAGGAATCCGGGAGTCTTCAGGTCGACGGTTTCCTCACTGTCGTCCATCTGTCCGCCAGCCGCTCACTTCGTTAAAAAAAAGAAAAAAAAAAGAAAGATGAACCAGGTGACGTTCCAAAAAGATTATACCGATGGTCCTTGACTTTACGACCACAATTAAGTCCCCAAAAATCGTTCTGGCTAAGTGAGACATTCGTTAAATGAGATTTGCCCTCATTTTGCGACCTTTCTTGCCACAGAGGTTAAGCGAATCGCTGTCGTTGTTTATGTTAGTCACATGGTTGTAAAGTTGAACCTGGCTTCCCCATTGAGTTGGCTTGTCACAAGGTGGCAAATAGGTGATCCAGTGGTGGTATGCTACTGGTTCAGACCGGTTCGCCCAAACTGGTAGTAAAAAAAAAAGCTGACGATCAGCTGAGAGGAGGCAAAAAATCCTGAGAGGAAAAAAAGAGAGAAAAGCGCAGGATCGGCCTTCCCACCTGTTCCTGCGCTTTTCTCTTCTTTATCCTCGCAGCTGATTGGCGCTACGGGCCTCGGCTGGTGTGAGGAAAGCTGCGCGTGCGTTAGGCAAAGCGCTCCCACCAAGCCACGCCCACCAAACTGGCGATAAGACCATTTGAATCCCACCACTGAGGTGATCACATGACCCTGGGGGGAAACACAGCAACCGTCAGAAAGATGAGTCAGTTGCCAAGCGTCTGAATTTTGATGGCGTGACCCTGGGGAGGCTGCGACAGTCGTAAATCTGAAAAACGGCCATCAGTTGCTTTTTTTTTTAGTGCCGTTGTAACTTGGAACGATCACTAAATGAACTGTTGTTAAGTCCGAGGACTGCCTGTAATCGGCCTGCTTGATCATTGAGAAAAGGCCCACTGCTGGTCCAGATTCCTAAGTGAGGCAGATGAGGTGTATGAACCCTCAACAGGCCTTCGTTGCAGTGTCCTCATGTTATGGAGTTCTCTCCCTCAGGAAGTAGAGATGGCCCATTGTATCCTCACTTTAAGAACTAGCTAAAGTACTGTTTTGTTCCTGCAGCTGGCGGTACCTGGCCCTTTAATCTAAGGACCATCTCTACAACCCTTTAATGCAGAGGTCTCCAAACTTGGCAACTTTTAAGATTTGTGGACTTCAACTCCCAGAATTCTCCAGCCAGTATGGAATCTGCTTTAATGGAATAATCTGCGCAATGTGTTTAGTTATCCGTGAGCTTTTATTGGATCTCATTGTTAACGTTTTGCTTTCTGGTTGATTGTGCTCTTCCAGAGGCACCCACCAGTTGGGATTTTTTTTAGAGAATAAAATCTAATTTAGTGAAGAGAAGGACCAGGGGAGACATGGTAGCAGTGTCCCAATATTTGAGGGGCTGCCACAGAGAGGAAGGAGACAAGCTATTTTCTAAAGCAGTGGTCGCTTTAGATCTGTGAGAAAATCTTGGTGGTCCACAGAGAAATGTCACCCCCAAAGCAATTAATCCAGGCTGCATGGAAACACAAGCCCACATGGCCCACGGGAACACAAGGCTTGTGTCGCTTGCATTGCAAACAGATGGTGAGCGGGGGGGGGGGGGGGGGGGGGGGGGGGGGG